CCCCCCCTCCGTGATCTGATTTGTCCGTCGGTGTGCCCAGAATATCTCTGCCGCCTCTAAATGGGTCGTGCTGCATCCGACTCGACGGCAAAGAAAAGCTCGACAGTCATCCCTACATGTCCTCTGCCCTCCTCATCCTCAACGATTCTCTGTCCACCCTTCTTTTTTCTCTTTGTTCCTCTTCCCTCTTGCTCTCTCTCTGTTTCTCTCTCTCTATCTTCTCTTCTCCTTGGCCTGATTCCACCGGCCCCTCGTACTGGACCCCAGCCCTGCTGATCCAGCAGCCGCGGCACTCTGCTCGTGCATTTTAATTTTCCTAAGTGCTCTAGCCGTCCCTGATAAATCACTCCACGCGCATGCGGCAGGCCTCCGGCGGCCCCGCGCGCCGCAGTTTTAATCTCGGGAATCTGGACGAGAGCGCCTCCGCGGCATGGCGCCCGCTATTCAGGTGCTGCTGGGAAGAGAGGGACTCGGTTGCAGCGTTTATCCCCCAAATCTTGCCTCTGAAAATGATTCAAAACACTTTGCTTAGACCTATAACCCGTGCATAAGGCAAGATCAGCCCGGATTTGTTACAGCCAATATGCAATTTCATGGAGAAGAAACCAGCTATTTCTTATTCATGTCAACTCTGGAAGATTTTCAGTAATGTTGTGGCAGAAAATGCAGCCGTTTGTGTATCTGCAGGGTCGCAACGGGGCTCCGGGCCTTCCGGGGAAACAAGGACTTCCAGGAATCCCCGGGCCAGAGGGACCTAAGGTAAGCCCCACGGCCTCCTCTTCATGCACAGACACATTTGTGTAAACAGCGTTATCCTGGGATATCATGCAACTTTTAAAAAGCGTTGTTTTAAACTGATTCATGTCAAACTTAATGATCCATGTCAGACGGTCACAGATGCTTTTCTTTATAAGGGTGAGAAGGGGGACCCAGGACTTATGGGTTTACCAGGACTGCGGGGTCCACAAGGATTAAGGGTCAGTCACATCTTGATAATGTGAACTCAAATATACATATATAGTCTGTCTGGGGCTCTAACGGTCCTTGTTTTTCTTTTAGGGTTTACCTGGTTACAAAGGAGAGAAGGTGAGTTCAGAAACATGATTCCATAGTTTAGATTTTTTACTTCTGAAGAGTAGCCTTGTTTTAAAAGAAGCTGGGATGCTGCCAGATATAAATAAAAAAGAATGAGTCACAAATCACAACTGAAAATAGCAGAAAAAGAACAAATTATGATTCATTTGCAAATTACAAAAAAAGCATAAAATAAGCGAAGCCCCTTTTTAGTTTAAAAAAACCATTCAGATATTTGATAATCACTGAACTATGATCATGTCCTTTCCATTTTGCTATTACAAGATGAGTTGAAATTTTTTTTTTTTAATATTGTGATTTTTTCTTTTAACAATCAAGATCAGATCACAAAATTATACGTATTATCAGCAGCTCACTGTCGATACTGGTATATTAGCATTTTCTATTAGTAATTTCACTGGTTTTTATTTTTAACATATTATATTTAATGTTTTGTCTTTTTCTTTTAAAAGGGGGTCCGTGGTGATCCTGGTTCAGCTGGACTTAAAGGAGACAAGGTTTGATAAAAAATTTGATTTCTTTGCCTTTTTTTTTAGTACGGTTCCTGAAAGAATTTAGAAAGTGTTATGCAATCGTATTCTATTTCATTGAGGTTTATTGAAAATAAGCACTTCAACCTATGTGTAAAGACCCATAAACATTTTAAATGCTGCAATATCTATATTTCAGACACATGTTGGGTATTTTATTTATTTCTGCTATGTTTTTGCTATGTGCAAGAAGATTTCTCGCATGAAACTCACATTTAGTTTCTGTCTAGGGCTCCATTGGTTTGCCGGGGATGCTTGGCCAGAAGGTGGGAAAAAAACATAAAATATTGTGAATAATTAAATAACAAATCAAAACTGGCAATCCCTTAACTGTGCTCTTCTTTAAGGGTGAGCTGGGAGCAAGAGGAGAACCAGGAGTTACAGGTAGAAGAGGACCCACCGGGCGACCAGGAAAGAGAGGCAAACAGGTACAGAAAAACAATTAATCCAGAAAACCAGTGCTTTGGCTTTAATATTATACTTGGATTTTCTACAAACATACTAAAACCATTGTTGCTTCAACTATATCATCAGAGCCATTCAAATTATGCACTTTTATAAGACACATTTACTGTATTTGTTATCACCTTCTACAAGAGTGGTAATATTTTTTCTTGCTAAAATATTGCCGGCTTTGCACAGGGCATGAAAGGACATAATGGAGCCGCTGGACTCATGGGTCCTCCTGGACCCCAAGGTCCTAATGGCCTCCCTGGCCCACCCGGTCCTCCTGCTTCAGGTACCGCATGTCCCCCCAGACACATCAACAATCTACCTCATTCTTTAACAGTGTAGTGTTATAGGCTCAGTGTGTGTTCTCTGTGCTACCAGGTCTGTATTTGGTGGGAGAAAAGGGAGACAAGGGTCTTCCCGGCCCACCGGGTCACTGTGATTGCGATGCCGTCGTCGGGGCAAATAATGCCCCATTTGGAAGCTACACACAACGGCACAGCAAAAACAAAGTCACTGCAGTAAGCTCTCAGACGTTTGCGATAAATAATGCATGTGTTTAATGATCAAGTTCCTAATTATTCGTCCGCTCTCCGCATAGATATTTGTGGTGAACAGTCAGGAAGAGATGGAGCGTCTACATGTGGACAATGCAATAGCATTCAGGAAGGATCAGAGGATGCTGTACTTTAATGATAAAGACGGATGGAACCCCATACAGGTAACATCATCCAAGGTGTGTCCTCGCAACAGAGAGACGTTTATTGAACAAATAATCTGGCATTGTTACATGACGGACTTTAATATGAAGCTTAAAAAGCTTTATTTTACTTTTGTTTTGGGTTCTATCCCGGATGGCATCTGCGCACTTGGACGTTTTCTTTGAAAACCACTTGCTGTCGCAGCCCTTCCAGACGTTTCAGTCTACAGAGACGGTACCGGACAGAGTGGGCGTCTGTGGAGATGGAAAGGTGCAGGCCCAGCACGGGGAGGAGTGCGATGACGGAAACCAGATAGTGACCGATGCGTGTCTCAGTGAGTTACTCCTTTCTGACGCTTAACTGCACACATGAAACCCAATGGAATGGACTCATTTCAGCAATTTAAAGTCTTTGTACATTTTGTAAACGTATAGGAACTGAAAGATTTAAATTATTTGAAATGTTTAAATCCACACAACCAGCTTCTAACTACTAAGTTGACCCAGATGCAATACCCTGCAAAGTGTAACTGTAGCACACTGTAGACTTTGTGTCAATGTGGCCTAAGCTAAAAGCAGTAAACAGTCAAACTTTCCCTTGATCTGTGATCGGCCTTCGTTTGATCTTTTCCTGCCAACCTTTCGCTTCTCTCTGCTGCTGTTCAATTAAATTAGCAGGAAAATGCTGTATTGACATGACTGAAAACAGGCTGCAGTGCCAAACACATTAGTGACATCTCCCTCTCCCCTCCCTTGCTTTCTCCTACCTCTGCCCGTACGCTCTGCTCTCCCTTTTCTGGGGCACTGCAGACTGCAAGTGGGCCTACTGTGGAGATGGCTACCGACACGAGGGCATGGAAGAGTGCGATGGAAAGGACTTTGGTTATCAGACCTGCAAATCTTATCTTCCTGGGTATGTTCACTGACATCTGTTGTCTATTCAGTCAGACACTTTGTTCTAGTTACACACTTATTCAAGAACTAGCTCAGACCACATAGCAGTGGTATCAAATCCTGAGTGACAGTGCTAACCAAAATACTTGCGGAGCCCTATTGACAAGAACAGACACAGTCCACAAGCTATACTGTACATATATGACAGCTGTTTTAGAGCCCCTTTGAAGCTGAAAAAGCCTTCAGGTCTGCACAAGTTGGCTCAATGCACAAGCACACTTTTGCAAACTTGTTTTTGAGAAGGCTGTATAACAGTAGACCAACACACAGAGTTCCTTTCTGCTGTTATAAACATGAGTCCAGGATCACATTTCTCTTGTGGTGGTCAATAGCACAGCAAAATAACATATTTGTCATTCAAATTTAAATGATATATGAAATGAGTTATAAACCATTTCCCATGCCTTCTACAGATCCTTTGGGCAGCTCAGATGCACCTCCTCCTGCTTCATTGATTCCACCGACTGCAAGTACTTCACCTGAATTCCGAAGCTTAATGATGACGAAGGCGGATCTTTACATTTCCTGTTTCTGAACACATAGTTCAGATTTCCCCTGAAGTCTTTGTGAAGACTGATGGACTTTAAGAATGAACTGATGGGAAGCTCCTGTGCCTTCTCTGACTCATAAAGGTCAAAGAAGTAAATTTGAAATGCATCGTACCCCTTGAGGTTTGGTTTGAGAACTCGTCTAAGAGAATAGCTCTTTTTCACACCATTGGCTACTACACTGTTATGAACTCTCAAGATTGGGAAAAGATTTTAAAGACTTAATGATTGTACCATATGAAATAGTTACAATGTATATGACTTGCTGACTGTTCAATGCAGAAATAAGCTATGTCCTCCTTAATATGGGAGTAAAAAAACCTTGGGTAAAGAGGCACTTATTGACACTATATGTACTGTATGCAATCAGGGGTGTGTGAATGTGTTTATTCCTGTGCAATATTTAAGGAAAACATTTAATGACGAAGTGCAATGTTGTGGTATTGCATGTGGATGTGTTCTCGTGCACATTACATTGCTTTAAACAGTAATGGAACAGTGCAGGCCAAAAGTCGGCCCATGTGCAATTAATCTGACAGAGGGAGAATGAATGTCTTATAGCTGAAAGCAAGAGGAAATCCTCTCATATCTGAAGCAGCATGGAGTTAAATCAAAATGACTTAATTAATAGAGAAACATGTAATGAGTTGGTTATTTTCCTGCATGTCTGTATATTAAATGAAATACAGTACATCGATGAGGACTGGTTATTTTTCTTCAGACGTGGGTGGGACTAGTGTGGGAAGCAGCCAATCAGAGGAGACTATCTCGAACCGCTCGCGTGATGAAACGTGAGTGCCACGTAGCGGGCCAGCGGCTCTGCAGTCTCACCTGAAAAGGTTCCCAGATGTGCGCTAGTTCCCGGCTTTGAACCCGTCGACATGCTGCTTCCTGCGCTGAGCTGGCTCCTCTCCTCACTGGTGACGACCGTCAGCCCTGGAAAACTGTCCGAAGCGGAGGTAGCCACCGAGGTTCTGCACAGACCATTTATCTGTCACCGAAAGACCAAGTACGGGGACATGCTGATGGTGCACCACGACGGGTACTTTGAGAATGGCACCATGTTTCACTCCAGGTACAGAAAGTAACGCCGGCTAGACGTTTAAAACTTTTTTAAGGGATAAAGACGGAGCTGTGCCTCTGTGAGGTCTCCTATTCTTTTCTAACTTCTCATAGTGGAGGCCACGTCCGTGACTCCCCGTTACGTTAGCCAAGCTGCACAAGTCCAGTCCAGACTGAGTTCAACCTAATTAAAAGCAACACCATCTTATTTTAGCTTTTAGCATTTACCAACCGTTGTTCTTAACCTTTTTTTTTTTCTTGAAATGTCTTTAGAAGACCAACATTTTTGGGGGCCATCATTGGTTAAGTTGTTCGTCTTGTCTTGGTTCTAATTTCTATGTAAGTGCATCTGTTTGCAGACATATTTAAATTTTATACCATAAGGTCAAAAGCCATTTGTATTGGCAAACTTTTTAAAGTGTGCCACTTCCGGTTATATGTCCACCAATAGGAAACCAGGCCTTTATTGGATTCCTCACACATAAATTAGCTTAATTTAACAGTTTAAAAAAACACGTGAAGAGCTTTTTCAGGTGCTATAAATCAATTGGAAAATAAATTAATATTGGCAGTGCAACAAAAACGACTAAATATGAAAACTCACTATAAAGCAAAATATTAAGTAGACTAAATACATATTGGTTTAAATATTTTTCATAATTCAAGTGAGTCTTATAAAAGTCCATATTTAATTATTATTTGATTAGATAATTACCTATTAATGAACTATTAACTATTCTAATTCTATTTTATACCTGACTTACAAAAGTAATTGGATAGATAGAAAAAAAACCCCACTTAATTCATGGTAATTCCCAACATAAGAACGGTATATTTTTGTAATCAATCACCCTTGTTATCAAACAAAATATAATTTACATAGTATTTATATTTTTATAATATTTCAAACAAAAACCGAGTCCATCTCATGTAGCCTGACTTAAAGATGTGAAGTTGAATCCCTTCCAAATATTCCATTTCCTCTAAATTCAACAGAATTTAGCATTGAAATGATTTGTGAATCAGTGTCTTTCTTCATTTCAGAGTGGAGGTAAACATTTACATGACCCGCTAAAATGTTGGTTTTATGGGGGAATAAATTAGCCCATGAGCTGCGAACTGCTGTGTTTATGTTCATTTTTACCGCTGATTCATGCATAGCTTAATGGCATTTAACATCATCTGCTAGCCACTTAATTAGATTCAAGTGATTCATTCATTCCACCAGCTGGAGGCTCATAGATGAGCTCGGCCTCGGTTGGGATCCTTAGCGCAGACGTGTTCCATCATCAGACTTTGTCGCTTTCCGCATTTCAGTCGAAGTTCTGGCGACAAGCAGCCGATGTGGTTCACGCTTGGCATCAGACAAGTGCTCAAAGGCTGGGACCTGGGCCTGCAGGGCATGTGTGCTGGAGAGAAGAGGAAACTGGTGCTACCCCCCGCTCTGGCCTATGGGAAGGAGGGGAAAGGTAGCCGCACTCATATGCATCTAGATTCCCTGCATGCTGCTAAAAAGAACATTAGTCACATTTAATGAGCTCTTAATGGTGATGCTTGTTTGTAAAATATCTTAAATAGTTTGCATGTGATGAATCAACAGTGCATGATACTTGTCCGCCTTGTTTTGAATGGTTTTTTATAGGAGTCTCTGTTGAATGAAGGGTTCATTCAGTGATATTAGTCCACTCTCTCTCAGCATGGAGCATGTGAACAATACTGGGCTTTTGTTCTGGTAAGCCCAAACCATCCTAACAAGAAAAGTTTGTTTCCCCTGTGCAAACTAACCCTCACCATGACAACCATGGCAACAAAGACCCTGATGTCTTTATAGAACTGAAACATTACATAAGTATATCTTGATATTGGCTGACGTCCTGATCTGTCATCTGTGGCCAGGTAAGATCCCACCTGAGAGCACTCTGACTTTCATTGTTGAACTGCTGGACATACGAAATGGACCAAGGTCACATGAGTCTTTCCAGGAAATGGACCTCAATGATGACTGGAGGCTCTCCAGATATGAGGTAAACACTGCACAGTGGCTTCAGTCAGCAGTATTTCTAAGCTGAGCTGATCAGTTTCATGTCATTCAAGTTTACTTAACATTGCTTGCCAAATGGCATTTAAAAAATAAATATAATATCTGTCATTTGCTCTTGTTCAGCCTCGATTTATCCGCTCCCATTTGTTTCTTCCAGGTGAAGGAATATCTGAAGAAAGAACACGAGAAATATGGCAACCCTCCAAACGACACCCTTCGTGAGAAGATTATGGAAGAAATCTTTGCCAGAGAGGATGAGAACAAAGACGGCTTTATATCCTCCAGAGAGTTCACATACAAGCACGATGAACTGTGAAGTCAGAGCTGGGAATGGGAATGCCTTACAGCAGATAAACGCTCCCAGCTAAGTCCCACGTTTGTGTGGCTCGTGAATCCTTGTAACCCATATTGATATTATTAGGGTTTTTTGTTTCTTTGGATGAATTGAAGCCTATATTTTCAATATGAAACCGGCATACAAAACACACACTGAAAGACTTTCTCCTGTGTGTGAATTTTTAACAGAACTAATAGTGTTTGTATTTATCAGTATGAGTGCATCCTGTTGTTTTGGTAATCAGTATATCTGCTACTAGATCTTCTTAGGGAAAAAAACCCTTGATCATTTTTTAAGCTTTTCAGTTTGTTTTTTTCTTTTTAAGAATATAGTTTACAACATAATCCAAACAACTGTAGTCAGAGAATCAACCCTCTTTGATCAGAAAAATTTGAATATTGAGACGCACAATTCTTCACTGAGGGCTGAACTGTGAATTTCCCTTCACCCTAACCAATCACAACATTTGAATAACGTATGTATGTTCGGTTTAACGTGAAAGCCAAGTCACATGATAAAGTGACAATGAGAGATTTTTACTGTTTATTTTTAAACAAAGATACTTTTATTCGTTGAGCTCACATTAAAAAAACACTTTACACATGAAGCCAGCAGATGGCAGTATCTTGTTAGTATCGATTCTTATTTCGCAGCACAAACAACCACTAAAGCTGATATGTTCACATATTCCTGACAAAACTAGTAACTGAAACTTTGGTAAAAGTAAAATATCACATTTAGAGAGGGTAGCACCACTGAACTGAATGTGCAAAGAGTATCAAATCCGGGTTTGGTCTTCCCTGAAATGCAAGACATTGTTGAATTTGAAGCTGAGTTGAGATCAGTGTCTTAGACTGTTGTAATTGTAATATTTTAAATAACAGAATACTTTTTCAAGAATGAGTATTGAAGTACTGATTCAAAAGGTAACATGTTGAAACGCACAATAAACCACTGTATTTATTTGACTGAAATAACTAACTTCATTTTAAGTCTTTAATAACAGTTTCAATACAGAGTAAACTAAATTTTTTTCTCTGTATTCTCCAGTAATAATGTGTTACAAACAATTTCAGTCAATGGAAGACTCTGTCTTAGGAGAGAGTGTGTGCTTGTGCAGAATCTGAATGTAAGCCTGTGAGTGTGCATGCGGCCAGCACGCCTACTCACAAACATTCCACTTTGGAAAAGGTCAGAGGTCACGTAGTCAGAATAAGGCAGGACCCTGTTTGACACATGCATTTGTACACGGAGTATACATACAATTACGCAGAAACCAAAAAAACAGAGATGCACAAAGTCTCTTTGGCTGGTATTTTATGATGCAGAGCTGTTATAAAACTGAGGAGAAATCTTGGAGATTGTCTGTTGCCTTTCAGGGATTCTGGGGAGGGTGAGTCTATGAGTCATCTGAGGTGTGTCCTTATCCCGGGGGGCTTGGGATTCACTGCAAGGCGAAGCATCAAAATAGATTTGTTTTTAAAAAGAATGAATAGGACAAGACCTGGAGACGATGAAAACTAAAAAGCACGGTGCGACTACCTCTGTTTTCTTTGCTGGGGTAGATGCGAGGGAAAGGCTTGAATTCTTCAGGGGGGGGTAGGTCTTCTACAGGGTGGAACTGGAACTTGGATTCAAAATCGTCTGCAAACAAAAAAACAAAGATGTGATTAGAAGTTTTTGTTTAACTGATTAAGGTTTGCTTTCCCTCCCACTAGAAAATGTGTATTTAACCTCATCCTTATTCTGCATCAACCATTCTCTTTTATCCTCAAAAGCAGAATATTTCATCTTATAACCGCTATTAATTGTTGGTTATCTATCAGATCAAGTTGTTATCCTCAGTTCAGTGGTCCTCGCCCGTCTTTTTTAACAGAAGTCGTGCTTCCTTCATGCAGACATCCATGTTTTATGAGCATTTCATGGAAAAGTGTCACTGTATCACATCCATGTAGGAGCTGAAAGGCCACAGCTTTACCTAAGCTGTGCAGGAGTCCGTTCCTGAGGCTGAACGGGGGCAGAGGAGGAGGTGGAGGCGGCGGAGGAATGCGGGTGGACAACTCTGTGGTGGGGGAACGGGCCGGAGGCGCCGGGGGGGGGGCCATCCGACCCACACCTATTTCCAAAAAAGAAACGGACATTAAGAGTCAGATTTGATGACATGGAAAGTAAAATCCCACTAACACAGGGCATTCCTCTACATATTAACACTGTCATTCATATGAATAATAAACACATTTACACAAAAAAGTACTTTCAGACACCTAAACGTTTCTTAATGTGCAGTTACACACTCCAAAGAGAACAGCGAACTGGTCAAATTAGTCTTTTACATTCCTAATTCTCAAAATCAGCACTATTCATGTCCAACATCTGTCCATCAAGTGAAAAAAAGTTGCGGGTAAGACATAAAAACCCCTCCCTAAACGTAAAAAAGACACATGTGCTTGCTGCTGGGTTTTACCTGCACCTCTGGGCACAGCTGGGGGCCGTCGGGTGGGAACGTGGCAGGGGTAGGAGGGGGGCAGCGGGCGCATGGCGGCCGAGGGCACCGGCGCCATTTTAGGCGGCGGTGGAGGGAGGGGGGGGTGGCAGCTCGGGGCAAGAGATGGAG